TGCCGTCCGGGCACTGGCAGCAGCGGGGCTGTCGATTCACTTGGCGGTGGTTTCCGGTGTATTTTTCTGGGGCGAAAAAAATCTTGTCCAATTTGCGCCACATGTTTGGTCAGGAAGGTTTTTGGATAGGAGGTGGTGCCGGTGTACCAAAACTCTGTGATCTCCAGCCCCCTCGGGGCCCCCGTGTTACTGGCGATTACGTCCCTCAGCTGCAGAGGACCCCCGAAGTTTCCGCTTTGGGACCCCGGTCTAACAGTCCTCGCTCATGACCGGTTTCTCACACAAGGTGCCGTGAGACAGTCTTTTCACATTACCTGGCAGCCTCTGCCCAATTTCGAGCTGCGGTCATGTGAAGGGAAGCACCTCCTCTGCTCACCGATTTCTTAAAATTGTCAGTTGTCCGCATCCCTTAGCAAGTTACATTCCCTTTATCAGCCTGTTGCTTAGATTTTCAAACGCGCCGGTGCCTAACCCTGCAGGACCGTGTTTGATAAGCTCTGCTGTGATGACCAGTTGTTGCATCCAGGGGTACGCACAGGGAGGGAAGTTGCTGAATAATGTCATTAGGAATCACTGCACGTGAAATAAACAATCAGGTGTCTTTTTATTTTTTTTCTCTTTTTTTTTCATCCTGGTTTAGGTTTAATTAAGAATTCCTCAGTTACAACCCTGTAGTTGTCAAGGTCTGAGAGACTCTTGGAAAACTTGTGTTTCAGTCTTGCTGGCCCAAGCATAATAAAAAAAAATACCCAGCCTGAATCGAATTTTTATGCTCAGTTCACGGTAGATTTCACTCCATTCTCATGTAAACAGCTTCTACGAATCAACATATGTGTCTGGGTGGTATCTCTCACTTTGTTTTGTAACAAAAAGCCATATTGCATCATTTAATTTGCTCAAGTCATGCAAATAGGAAAAAATCAATAGGACAAAAAGGGGTCGACTTATCCTCCTCCCCACTAAACTGCTGCCCACACACAGAGTCCTGTTGCTTATGGCAAAAGAATAACAACAACACCATTGTGTTTGTTAGTTGGTTCACTAATGGGTGAAACTGGAGAACATCATTCTCCTTCAGTCCCCAGCTCTGTCCAAATGTTCATGCCTTTTGAGGGAGCATTTGTCCTACCCCCTCTATTCCCAGATGAGTGAGAACTGTCTTACTGCAGGTTTTCAGCTGCAGATCTCTCTTTATTCATACCATATGCAGCAGCAGTTTGAGATTCAAGGCAGATATATTTCTTCATGTCGTCTAGAGACAGTGTCATTAAGCTCCTGTGTGATAATTGAATTAAACTATAAACTAACCACACACACATAACCTGAAAGATCTAGCTGGGAAAAGAAAAAAAAAAAATAAGGACTGGAAAATATGTCCTTAACTCACCCTGTTGCAATGTCTCGGTGGCATATATGCTACCAAGATTATTCAGTGCTTGGAGACCCTTGTAGTAATTGGCTGAATGCAGTAAATTGGAAGTTGAATTTTGGTTAGTTTTCAATCTCCGGGCAGTTGAAGGGTTTATTCTCTTCTTACTATTCCTTGAAAATATCTTTTAATTCCCTTTGGGTGTTTTTTTTACTAACGGTGCTAAAAACCTGATAGAAATGTGAGGAATTGACCATATATGCCACAGTAGCTATTTCTGAGCTGTTGAACCTGTTTTTTTAAATATAAATTACACTTTTTAAGGAATATTATTTTACAGGGTTTTAAAATCAGACTGTTTTTCACCAAAGATTAACATTTACGAAACTGGCAAATCTGCTTTATCATATCAATATATGTTTAGAAAAAATGTCAAGATATATGTCATTTATACCTGAGAGAATGAGGTGGTCATTCCATAAAAGACATGGCAAACTATTATGGAATACATTTGAATGGAACTTTTCTAAAAGCACATTTTTTAAGCTGTGTACAGTTCCAAACCCAGCTTTTTTAAACTCCATCGTATATTTACACGATGGAGTGGCTGTGACATTAACAGAAATCTGAATGCTAGCTTCTTCAAAAAAAAAGATAAAAAATTGAGCATGCTCAGTAGACATTTTCATAAGAGCTTCTTGGTTAAGGTGCCGGGTCTTTGAGAATTTTTGACCAAATTATTGATCTGTGTTTATAATGAAAACACTACCATTGCCTACGGTTTGGGGAACAAAAATGGAGCTACCATAATGAGCAGATACAACACTGCACTGGCTCAAGTTAGATTTTTGCATCCTGTTGTTGACATTTAACTCTTTGTCTTCTAGTTTTCTGCAATATCCCCTTGTTCATGAAGAGCTACTACATCCCAGTCAAACATTGTAATACCAGTTTTTCTGAAAGTTTGCTTACAGCCGGACAGGCAAAGAAGTCCTCTCTACCTTGGATGGTTTCACAGCCAAGGCTGTCAAGGAATGGGTGAAAAGTAATTGTTTTCAAGTGTGCCCTTTTACAATCATTTGTTTGCTCTGGCTCTTTCACGAACAAAGGCTATTGTTGAACACATCCAACTAAACAAATAACTCATCTTGGGGTCCCTTTAACAGCTGCCTTCGTACAATGATCTATTTACATATTACCCTAAAATTGAAACCGAACTCTTTAATGACATAATCCAGCACTATAATACAGAAGAAGCATATGTTCAAGCCAACAGCTGAACAATCTCGTAAGCATATGATTTTTAGACATAAATGCTTGTATATCAAATACGGCTTAATGCAATGACCTGTTTCACTGTTTTTTTTTCTGTTAAGATCAAAATTATATTGCCTTTCTCAAACTAGATATGACAGAGTACACAAAACAGATGACAATATTCAATGTAAAGAATTTCTGTCTATTGTGTCATCTTCTGTTTCTTCTTCTTTGCACTATTCTTTTTGTTGATAAACCAATTTAGTGTGCTATGCTTTCCTGCGCATTCCAGCATTTATCTTACCTTTAGTCTACCTGTTTTACTTTCGTGTGGCTAGAGATTAAAGGATGATCTTACAGATGTTGTAAATTAGTCAGCAGCAGGCATAATCATTATTAGGCATGTTGCAATAAATGTTTGGAAGTTTTACATATTTTCCAGAGCACAGTTAGTTTAAACCACTGCAGTTTGATGGTTTCACATACGACTTTAAAAATTGAAGCAGGAAATTAGTTTACATTTCTTCAAAAGACCAGAGCCATTGTCAACTTTAAGGTCATTTTCAAAGTAGAGATCCAACAGAAAAAAGCTTCATTCAAATAAGTATTTCAGCTTTCGCTTAAAACTGGTTTAACATACTCCAGGATAAATACATTATCGATTTACTGAAATTCAGAATAGAAAGGTTGCCCTATCTCCCAGGCAGGACAGAGTTATACACCAGACCTCACACAGAGCAAATGTTACCACCCTATTTTGCCTGAGCATTCTAAAAGTTAAATAACATTGTACTTGATTTTCAGATAATTGATTGACTCTCATTCCTTAATCTTCCGATTAGCTATTATAGGACCAAGATTCATTCCAGAAATGACATGAGGGGGTGAATTCCTGTGGTTAATTCCTGGATAGCAGCTGCTCAGGGGGATTAGGATCCTTTTGTCTTAACTTTGAGGACTGAAATGTTGGCAAGCATTACTTCTCCTGTATCACCAGGCAACGTCAATTACGTTTTCCACAAGAAACAGTAAATCAGCTTTGCTATCCTGTAATTTTTTATTTTTTTCCCCATGTTCACAATGCGTTCTGGAGTCTTCCAGTAGAAGTACAGTTTTCTATCTGCATCACTGGGGAGTTAATTCAATAAACACACTGAATATTTACCTAGTAATACCTCGTGTTTACTTGTACTTCTAAACACACCATCATACTGCTACCACAAGAAAGCCTACTGCCTGAGATCAACTCCCTGATGAAAACATCTGAGACTTTTGCAAAGCAGGTGATACTACTGAATGTAGGCAAGTACTTTGAAGACTCTGTAGTCATGATGTGCTTTCCTTTGGTGGAAACACCAGAATAGGTAATTTCATCCTTACTTCAGGAGAGCTCTCAGCTTCTTGCTGACATAATGTTGTTAAAAATTAGCATTTATGGATAGTGCTTTCGATCATCCCCTATTGGCTTCAGACTTGGTTCTATTTGGCAGACAATGACTTGACTGAATTATACAGGCCACTTCCCATCAGAACCACAGCAACACAAAGTAGGTCAGGATACCATCATCCCTTAAGACAGTCCAGCTAATGCAGAAGATGATTGCCTCAGCAGTGTGGATTGCTGCAAGCATATAAAGTCTGTTCTCTACTACCTGGATTGCAATCCTAGGCAGTATTGTCAAGTTTAAAGTTTTAGTTATTATGTATTTTGGTTATAGTTTATTGTAGTTATCATATTTTTAGTTCCTGTCTTCAAGGCATTTTCCCCCAGAGCTACCATATCTAAAACAACATCTGAACCTCAAGAAAGAAGACTAAGGTTAACAGTTCTGCTGCTACGGCCCAAATGAGCAGTCTAGCGTAAAGAATCTAAACTTTTCCAGGAGAGAGGGGGCTGTGGCTGTGGAAAGAATTCCCCAACAAATTCAGGGCCAATGCAAGCCTTTCGCCATACATGCAATATGCAATTAACTGATTACTGTCTTCAAGGCTTGAAAAAAAAAAAAAAGAGAGAAACCCTTTCCAAAAGAAGATGTGAGACAACTATATTCCCAAGAAGGGTCTGAAGAGAGATAATAAACCACACGTGGCAGATGTTAGTCACATTACTTAATTGCAGGTGCTATGAAGCTGAGGATAGTCTGAGAATAGTAGTCTAAAGAACAGGACATTTAATGCATTTAACGATCCTGGCAAATCTGGAGGAATTCTTTTTGAAGCCAATGGCAGCTCTTCCAGAATAAGGGTAGAAGCCAAATGGTGTTCTTCTAATCAGTGGTCCAACTTACACCACTAAACTTTAGTGCACATTTCAGATGGCCTTTTGACAATATATGTATGGTAAGACTAAATTTTCCTGGAAAGAGTTTGTCTTCTAAATTAAGGTTCCTTTAAATAGGATTTTGTGTACAGGCCATGTGTAATATTTTGAATACGTATCTGTTTAAAATAATGGAGAGTGCATTTCTCTCAAGTGTTTGAGGTTTATGTAATTACGATCCCTAAATAAAATGCTGAGTTCAGAACTGTGTTATCAAAGTACTGCATCCTAGAAGAGAGCCGACCTATGAGACAGCATACTCAAACGTATCAAGAGTCTTCATGCATTGAATAACTTATTTCATCAAAACTAATTTAGATAATTCCCTTCAATGTTATGTTGCAAGGGAATGACATTGGAAAGTCCTTCTACAAATTAACTCAGAGATATGAACTATAGCAAAACTGTGTCAATATTTTCAAATGCGCTATTTACAAATATTTATAGATTTTGCAGAATACAAATATTTACCGCATTAATATTTCTTAATATAAGTGTCTTACAGTCTTTGTTTATAGCTGTGTTAAATAAATAGCAGAAAAAAAACGAGCTTTGTTTTTGCATTGGATCAGATTCAGTCCCTCTCAACTGAGAACACATTTCCCACTACCCACCATTGGGATGAATGATCAAAAAACAATCCATGTGGTTAACAATAGATTAACAAAGTGCACTGCATTCAAAGACTAATAAAGACGACTATGCTGTTTTCCATTATTTTTCAAGATTTGATGACATTGCGCTCCTTAGGCTCCTGTATTTACTTAAACACATCATCAATCGTGGTTTCGTGCTTCTTCAAGTACTATGCATAACATACGCTCTTTTTTCAGGACAAAGTTACCGTTTCAATATTGAGACAAACAAGATGTTATGAACAAATTCTACTTTTTCACTTACAAAAAGAAATGTCTGAAAACATACAGCTTTTCCCACCTCCAAGTCGTTTGCATTAGAAAGAGCAAAAAGCAGAGCGGCATTCAAAGCATGAAAAATCCAAGGCACCTGCTAAACTCCACAGCAGTCATTTCAGTAGCCGGGCTGTGGTATCGTTCAAGACACACCTGTTTAACAAATACCTAGATATGGTTTTTCTGATGTGTTTTGATGGTAGAATTTTAATTTTTAGTCTCTAAATACTTAATAGGTCACCTTACAAGTTAGGTTTTTAAGTATTTCTCATAAGAGAAGTGGGTAGAAGGCCTGCTGCGGTAGCTCCTCCTTATATAAATGATCCCTCTAGTTCAGAGATTGCCTATGTGATTAAGAGATTGTGGGCATGAGTCCATCAAATAACTTGAGTACTATTATCCTTATCTGAGAAAGAGAAGCAAGCGCTCAAAATCTCACTGTACTAATGACATATTGCACCTTTCATAGTAATAATTTTTGCACTTCCGGAACGGTGACATGAAACACGATTTATACTAACTGTATTTGTTCCGCTAGCATTATTTATTACATTAGATCATGCAATCTTTTTTTCTGTAAGGTGGGGAAACAGGTCGTATGTTTATTTGTCTCTGGTTTGTGGCTTGCAGATACTTTCTGTTACCAACAACACAGAATGTGCGAAGCTACTGGAGGAAATCAAATGTGCACACTGCTCACCTCACGCTCAGAACCTATTCCACTCACCTGAGAAAGGGGAAACACCTGAAAGAGAGCTAACTCTTCCCTACCTGTGCAAAGACTATTGTAAAGAATTCTATTATACTTGCAGAGGTCACATACCAGGTAAAACCTATAACAAAATACGGGGCTAAAGGATGTCTGTTCTGAAATGTTGATACTGCCTGAGTGGTTATAGATCCAGCTCTTCACTGGGTAAAATCCCCATTGATATCCAGGGGATTGCCCAAGCAAAGACAGAATATCTCAGGGTCTTCACAGGAGATCTTACGTAGTGAGGTAAATATTTTGAGCACTTTCTTGCCACCCTCCTATTAAACTCTCCATGAAACACGGGATTGTTTGTTGTCAAAGGCACCTGAAACTGTTACCTTTGCTGAAACATTAGCGTGTTGACTCAAATCATGTAAACAAGCAGTTGGCCATCCAAAAGGCTATTCTAAATGACAGATAGCTTTAAAATGCAAGAAATAAAAGATGCTGGCTGTTTGCTGTAGACTCTAAAAGCTAAGGAGTAAAATGTTTTTTCTGGTTTTGTTACCCTAGAAACTGATGTTTTTTCCACAGGGTTTAAAGCCCATTGAAATCAAAGGGAGCTATTCGATAGACTTCTGTGATCTTTGAATCGCTTCCAACATGCTGTTAACAACCAAATTCTTAACTAACCTAACACTTCCCCACTGTAGTCAGTAGAGTTAGCTGGACTAACCAAAACCAGAATTTGACCTGTGTTGTGTAAGGCGGTCACCAAATGTGTGCTATCACTTAACTATATCAACAAAATAACCACAGAAGATGGTTCTTTTAGAAATACTGTCTTAATACACTATCATATTAAATAACTTCTTTGGTATTCTCAATAGTAAATTATTTATATGTTCAAGACTGTAATTTTTAAACTGTGCTTTTTTCCCTGTCCAAACACTACTTACAAATAATGCCACACAGGAGAAAATAATTAAACTGGTTAAGTTTCTTTTTTTTACTAGCAACACAGACTGGAAAAAAAAGTTGATAACGATATGAAAAATGAATTTGTGAATAGTCATTTTTGACATATGAACACAGCTTTGTAATATAATATAAACATATTTGAGTAAAGGGGATAGTTTAAGTGGATGAGATTTGGAGGAGTGTTTTTTAATTCGGTGTGTACAGTGTGTACTTGTTTTCTCTGAAATCCCAAGAGTGTGGGGATTTTTTTCAGTGTTCTTTTATTGACGTGAGAAAACATTTTGAATTGACTTACTTTTTCCCTTTACTGTGGTTTAACATGTATCTCAACCCATTCAAATATGAAAATATTATTATTGTCTTTATAAACTAAGAGATGTTTCTAAGGCTTTCTTAAACCAGCTGTTTCTTGCTCTTTATCACATTCCCCAAAGCAAAGCAGAATAGATCACAGTTGCCAAGACTGCCTGCTAAACAGCGATAACAGATTAGATATTCTAAATGTTTGGCCCATATGAGAAGTCAGCACAAAGACTTTTTTTGACATGAGTTTGTAGCTGGTGCAAATGATTAGCATATTCTGCAGAGCAAGTCCCTCATAGTTGTTTTGTGAAATTCTGTGTTTCTGAGGAAACATTTTGTTTAATTGGAAAAAGTGAAAGAGGGAAAAGGGAGAAAGAAGGAGGAGGCGGAGGGAGGGAGAGAGAATGAGAAAGGGCTGAGCAGCACAGGAGCTATAGCCACAGGAACCTCACTCCTCAGATCAACATATGTGGTGACGAATGACAAATTTATTTTTCTACAAAGTTTGTGTATATGTAAAACTGCTGAAGTGCATCAAGATGTCAAGTGCTTTTCGTGACCACCCAGGTTGCCTTGAAAGATAACCAGATGAAAGCATAACTTTAGCACTGGACAGAGCACTGTGCTTTGCAGGAAAAGAGCTTACATACTTTAGCGTCAGTTAAAATAGGATTTTTCCTACATCAATCAGATGCTAATAATCATTCTAAATACTTGTTCTGAAAGTGGGTTGTACTAACAAAAAGTTGTTGCATACTTACGTCCACCAACAGGGTTAATTTGGTGACTTGACTGGTACATATGGTTGTTGATACCTATACTAGGATTTCCTGAAGGTATTAATTAAGTAAGATTCGGGTCCCTCTTTTTGAGAAAATGGCCTATAGGATTTTAATATAGTTTAATAGTCTTATACATTCTAAAATATAAATAATTAAAATAACAACTTATTTGGGTTTTCTATTTTACTTGTGAGACCCGTATATCCGTAATAATATTTATTGCAAAAGAAAGAAAAAAATAGAAAATGTGGAAGCTATGTTTCCAGCTTAGCCTGGAGGATTAAACAAAGAGTTGGAAATTAACAGGCCCCGAAACCCAAGGTCTCTGGCAATGATTCACTGTGCATTTGTTAAAAAGTCAAATAATTACTTTTCCTCCATTAGGGAGTGCTAATTGTTTCTGAACACCAATACAAAGGAGTTTAAGGAAATTGCTGACTACAAAAATAATTTTATCCCTTAAGTCCTGCACAATTGAGAAATATTATTAGCGATTTAAGATAGGAAGCATCTTTTCTGGAATTGAAATTTTGGTGGTACATATTAACCAAGAAGACTGAGAAATTACACATCAGGTCTTTTCATGATTTAGCTCCAGAAATTTATTTATTGTCCCGTCTTTTTTTGCAAAGACGAAAACTCTAGCAGATCCTTGGTTAACTCTTTTGAAGACAGCAGTTTGCCCACCAGTTATGACTGTATCAGAACTTCCATTGACTTCTTTAGCAATATCCAAAGAAAAAGTGGACCCAATTCTTTATTGAAACAGAATAATAACAATAGCTGTTAGGATTGTATGGATATGTTAATGCAGGAGGGTGTAATGATGTTTCACAAAGTCTATGAGATTAGAACTTCCCTGCTTCATCTCAGGTGAATGTTCTCACTATTTCTCATCCGATCTTTACTGTAAGACTCAGTTTAAGTGATTACTGATGGAGACACTGGAGTTAAGTGACTTAATGAATTATCTTCAATCAACATGAATTTTAAGTTTTCCAAGGTCATAAGAGAAGACTATCTAATATTTATTATTAACGTAGCTAGTAAAGAAAGGCACGGCTGATTCTCCCTTTAGGCATGAGCAGAAGCTTGATCCATGCCACTGAAAGAGACATATTCTAAGGAACAAACCTGTGCCACAGCCACGGTGCGTTCTGCCATCCAAGGACATCGGACGGAGTTTGAACTATGTGCTCCCCATTGTTTTCATTTGAAGAAATGGGTTCCAGATGATTGCGGATGAATTCAGATCCAGGCCCAGATCTGAATCCAGGCATTACCGGAACAGATGCTTGATATGAATTTTTTAACTCCAAACAGGGGCACCCCAGCTCAAAATGCTGGAAATCTAAGAAATTCTGCAACCCACACAACACTTCCAGAAGTTCTAACATAGTCAACTAATAGTCACAGTCAACATAGTCAACCTGCAGAAAAATACTAGTGGCTCATAATGTTGCTACTGCTAACGAGAGCATCAAGGGGATTAACCCTGGCACTGCCTGTGTACAGGTACGTGCAATGTGTGAATATGAAAAGAGAGCCACTAGTCACTTGAAAACTAGTAGGAAATGATGTGAGCTACCACTGAACTTACTACATTTTGAAACAATCAGTCTGGAATCACTTCTTTTATTTCATTTTCACTGAGAGCTGAGAAGGGAGAGGAGAATGTGGTTTTTGTGAACGAATTCACATCTAGCTGTCAAAAGTACAATTAAAAAAAAAAAAACCCAAACCAGGAAAACACTTCTTTTACACAATACTGAACTGTATGCTCAAGGTCATAGCAGAAATAAAGCAGGTGAGCCTGATTTCCAGATGCTCTCTCAGCCAGTGTAGGTCTACTCAGATGAGTGGATGATATTTAATCCTGTGTGCAGTGCAAACAAGGAAGGGAGTTAATAGGAACTTGACTTGCTGTAAAGACCGGGACAAATGCTACCACGACGTTTGAGTTGTGTATCAAAGAGAAGAGACAGGGGGATGAGTAAGCAGGGAATCCAGCAAAGTGGAATTTGGTGAAGGTAGGATAGGAAGGAAGATACAGTGTGAGGAATAACTGACAGCAAATACAAGTGGAGAGAGGAGGTGAGGATCAGCTGACAGCAGTTTTCCTTTGAAAAGGCTTGAAATCATGCAACTTATTCCCACAGTTTTTTATAAAGGCGTACACAGAAAGCCTTCACTGTAACTGCCTTAACTGAAAAGTCTGTAGTTTGATTCTTATTTGCAAGACAGAAAGTTTTAAAAGCATAGAAATGCAAGCTTGTGCAAAATCTGACATGTACAACACTTAAACATTATGTTTAATCTTCCTTTGTGATTTCAGTTTTCTTTGTTAACGCAGGCACTGCTCTGTCAACGCATACACAGCTGGCAGGAAATTTGTAATGATATGTAAGAGTCTTTTAAAATAAAGGAGTAAGTACAGAAATTCACACAGGACCAAATGTTGCAGTCCTTATTAGGCATGGTTCTCATAGAGGACAGTGACAGAGCTGTATTCAAATAAACTCAGACTGAGCAAAATGATCTTTTTTTTTTTTCTCCAAACAATTCTAGTGCTTAGGGGCACTTGTCAGGGACCATTCTTCTGGACACTCTACAAACACTGAACAAAACGGCAAATTCTACACTAAAGACCTTACAATCTAAGCACGATAAAGAAAACATTAAATGGCTACAAGCAGATATGAGAGTAGAAGCAAACGTTTTTCTAACTGTCTTTAGTGAAGCTGTTAGTATGTTGAATTTAGCATATATAACACAAGCAGATTTTTTTTTTAAATTACTGTGTTTTTGATAGAACAAAATTCCATCCCTAATACACAGGTGAAACTGTATTTACAGACGTTACATTCCTTCCAGTAACGCAACATTTTAGCAATTTACTGGCTGATTTTCATAGTTTAATTCAAACCCCACTTTTTACGAGCATTTCTAAGGAAAATGGAACATAAGCCTTATCCTTTGTTGGAACCTGCTGGTGGGTTTGCTAAATAGCAAATGCCATGGCATTTGCAAATGCAGTGCAACATGTACTTAAGTGCATGACAAAATATTTCATAAGGAAAAGGGATTAATCTTACATGTAAGCAAAGGCACTGCATAAGGTCAAGTGAGTTTGCATCTGATTGTTATTTGAAATGAACACGTACTGAGTAAACAATATGATCATAATATGGTCTCAGTTTTTCTGACTAAAGATAACATTCCAGCCAAAAGTAGTTTATCTTTAGTAAATAGTAGATGGTATACTTGGAAAATTCTAGAAATTCTTAGAAATTGTACACTTCTAATTTGCTATTGCATTTTCTTGAATGACCCACTGTGCCTAGAAAAATAAATTATTAAAGACAAAACTGTGCATTTCTTAAGTCGAATAATTCAACAGCAAGATTTTAGATTACCTTTGATTTTGGCATTATATCGATAAGCCTTGGAATACTACTCCGTGATTATATCAGAGTTCCTCTTCAGTTGTTCCACTTGAAATAGTATCTCCCATTTTCTCCAAATAAGTACTATAAATGAAAACCAGCTCCTCAGAGATGATATTTACTGAAGCTCCAAATCATGGTAATTAAACTTTTACACCACAACGCACTACCATGTGTTTCCAGATATTATTTTATAGAAACCAAAGGCAGGCTTTGTCATGTTATTTTTCCAATATTTTTAAAGGAAGATGCATATGAAAAGAAGTATAGTTGGGTGGGAAAGGCTTTCCACTCCACAAAAATTCTGGGATCTAAAAAATTTTCCTATTCCACATAAGGAAGAAATTGAACTCTTTCGAAATTTTCCATGAAGAAAGCCACAGAGAGACCACCCCAGGATAGCTAATAAAGTCGTTGTTAGGACATTTACTTGGGAAATGGGACGCTTAGGGTCAAACTCTTGCCTGACAGATGAGGGGCATTGACCTGAATATTCCTCTTCCTAATGAAACACCCTAATTACAAGACATTGGAGTATAGTGATACGAGGTTTGCTGTCCGTTTCTCTCTTTTCCATTTAGACCAGAAGTTTGAGTTGGGACCAGAAACATCATCTTAACTAAAATTTTGTCAAAACTGATAATGTTTCTGAAAAAGCTTTGCTTTTAAGAAATTGGGATTTTCCAGTGAAAGACAGCTGTCCCTGATCAGCTCTTATTGTACGTTGTAAGCCAGAGGTTTTATGGCCAAGATCTATGGATTACTGCATTATTCACAAGTGGTAAAGCCATGCATAAATTAGGCCTCTAATTCCAATTAAGTGCTAATTCTGTGTATCCTATGAGTTATGTCCTGGACCACAGCACGTCCTAACACAGTATGCCAATAATGCAAAGAGGAATGAAGGTAACTTAAGACATATTATCTTAACAATGTTTTAGTAAAATTGGCCACGTATAACTAGCCAAATTCTATCTTCTTAGATTTAATACTAATTGTTAAAAACTGGATAGAAATGACTAGAAATAGGTTTGTGGCCAGAAATAGATACTTTTGCTGTCATTAAACATAGTGTAATATCAGTAGTGGCAAGGTTTTTCCTCAAAGGCTCTCATTTTACCAACTTCTCATTTCCCTGGGTCTTCGAACTCCTTCCCATTTTAACCTAAAACCTAAAGACCACCTTTCGCCCAAGCCAGCTTAAAGCCAGCTCCAATGCAGCATGAGACATATCCCCCTTTGCAGGGGATGGGGGCTGAGGAAGTAGACCTCGCGATGTCTGTGTTCACCCACTCTAATGCTGGGAGTCAACCAGAGGCCAACTGCATGTCAACACGGTGCAGTTTTCAGCAGTACTTCTCGCTTTCTGAGACAACTAATTATTCACCTCTCCGACTGATGTCCTTTGCTGCCAGCATTCCAGAAAGTCTTTATTGCATGTCTTTTACCGAAGTCTTTACTGAAATTTTTACTACAACAAGCCACTTAAAAAAAAAAAAAAGTTAAATGAAAGCTGCTCAAGCTATTTTACAGCAGATACTACACTTGATTAATAGGGTTAAAATCAGCGAAATGTCTATCACAGCCTCAACTCTGAACTTTGTCTCTTAATTTTTTAATGAGTGAACTGTAGTGTCATTTTGAATGAATTGGTATTTTTATTTAAGCACACTGAAAATAAGGTTTAATACAAATACAGATGAGTAAACCATAACAGGTAATACTCAGTTTGTATTTATTCAGAGCAGGCCTTTTTTGCAGATAGCACTTTGTCTAAAATGACTCCTTTTTCCACTCAATATATAATCTATTTAAAGATTAGTTTGATGGCACAAAACTGCAGACATGACAACACACTAAACATTTGTATACTCTTTTGCATTTTTAAGGTTTTCTCCAAACTACAGCTGATGAGTTTTGCTTTTACTATGCAAGAAAAGATGGTGGTGTATGCTTTCCAGATTTTCCAAGAAAACAAGTGCGAGGGCCAGCTTCTAACTCCCTGGACCACATGGAAGAATATGACAAAGAGGAAGAGATCAGCAGGTTCATAAAGATAAATGCTGTTTAATCTGAAAAAAAACCTTAGCAAAGCCTGTGGTTTTCACAGTGAAACAGCTCAGTGTGTGCTTATGCTCAGCAGCTGTGTTTTCCAGATGTTACTTTCTTTTGCTGCTGCTAATGTACGTCAAAAGAGAAAGTTACATTAGCTTCAATATTTCAGTACCATTTGATATTTGCATTGCTGAAAAGGTCTTAGAATCCTGGTTTGATCCACCCTGTGGATCATACATAGTTCTAGGAAGTCATTTCTACCTGAATTTAATGTTACTAACAACTACAATAAGTTTATTAGTAAAATATTGATTTCATGATTTTCAATTTATTTCATTCATGTATTTTTCTTTGTGAAAATAATTAAATTAGATTGTCATTTTTTAAAAATGGGTTTTAGAAACCAAATTTTGTCAAACTGCTGGAATTTACTATGTTTATTGTATGGTAGAAATTTTGTATTTATAAATTGTTCTCTTTTTTTACCAAATTTTTTCTCTTCTATTCCTCTACATTTCAGATCTAAGATGAATTAATTTTCTCTTTCTTGTATACAAACCAAATTTTGCTCAAGTGAAGTTCAAATTGATTTTCAGTATTATCTGCTTGCATACATTCTAGGAAATAATTTATTCTGGATTGTATAACTGTGTTTTTAATTTCACTGCAGAACAATCATTTTATCTTTTAGGGACATTGTTGTGTCATGGTTACAAGAAAAAAGAAATTTCTCACTATTTTTAAAAATTTTTTTTAGAAAACACAAGCACAACTGCTTCTGTATTCAGGAGGTTGTGAGTGGACTAAGGCAGCCTGTTGGAGCAGTACATTGTGGGGATGGATCCCATCGCCTCTTTATTCTTGAGAAAGAAGGATATGTGAAGATTTTCAGTCCTGAAGGAGACATACTCAAGGAACCTTTTTTGGATATACACAAGCTTGTTCAAAGTGGAATAAAGGTTGGATTTTATACTTATCTCTACCTGTTTATATTTTAGCCTGTATATGGGGAAAAAGGGAAGAAACGTTTTTCAGAAATTAATTTAAATAATAAAAAAGAAGAGTAATGACAACAGACACTACAGTTCTATCTGGCAAAGAAGTGAAAACTTCCTTGTTTCCAGAAGGGAAAGCATAGCATCTTGTAACTGTCTCTTTCCCTTCATTTTTTGCTCACTTTAATTTCAGAAGAAACTATCCAACACCAGCATCCGACAGCATTATCTTTGTATTTTCATCCTTTGGGCTCATTTCTGTCCCGCTGAATTCAGCCGAGTTTTGCTGTGATTCCAGTGGGAGCAAGTTTGGCTCAGGGCCTCCCCTGACCTGCGGGTGCTCAGCGATGCCCCGGGAGCCGGACACAGGAGGGGGCCTGGGAGTGCTCAGGGACCCCCGGGAGAGGGGCAGGGGTGCTCGCTCCCTCTTGGCTCAACCTCAAATGTGGCACAAGCTGCCCTTGGTGGAAGGCTGCTTTAAAACAGGATGTATTTGAGATGCACGTAAAAAGTGACTGACCCTCTAAATTCAGACATGCGGGCGGGTTGGTGCAACAGCTTTCATTGTGTGTAATGGGAAGGCTTTCATGGTCAGGGGAGTGAATGCTGAATGGGCACTGATGGGAATACATTGGAGGGTGGAGGTAAGAAATTACATCTAGGTATGGGGTAAGTACTAATGGAAAACTCATAAGCCTGTTGGGGGATATTTTACTTTGGAAATGTCATAAGTGTTGTTCCATGTTGATTTCTTGTCATGTTTTAGAGTGGTAGTGCAAGTAAAATCCAGATACATAAAGCGAATTTAAATTGTAATCAGGTTTTGCCTAGAACAGTCAGGACTATATATCATAAAGCCTTCATGGATGAAAGATATATTGACATACTCTTGACAGAGTAATCTTAAATAATAATTGTGACAAACCATATCAATTTAAAATGCATAGCACATGCTAACTAATCATTTTGTGTTTCAGCTCTAAGGGCAATAAGCCAATTAAGATAGTCTTTTCCAAGACGAAATCTCAGAGATTTTTAGTTTGTGTTGAGAGAGAGGGAGAAATTAAATATATTACACCTTTTTCAGGAAAAGAACCAATCTATGTGATTCTGTGATTTCCTGAACACTTCCCTTTGTGCATCTGTAGCTAACCATTATGTTCAAGAGACCAAAACAGAAGGAACTTATCAGGGGTATTTTTGAACATCGATCTACGGCTGTTTCATATTTCTTAACTGAAAATTCTGATAGTTTGTACTTGTCAAAAACTGACACTGAAACTTTCCACAGAACTGCTATCGGTCCCAAACAAACCTTCCTCGAGGAAACTTTTACAGCTGGAACTTAGAGGAAAGTCTAAATAGAAAACTGATTTTCCATGCTTCTGAATAGGCAATAGCCTGCTTGATAAGACTCTCAACAGCTACCCTCAGATTCAGATTCAACTTTTAGTTCTGTTTTAAATCAGTGACCTGATCTTTTTAGTCTTTACTACCCTAACCATCATATAATACTCTAAACTGGATCTGTTTCAACTAAAACATTTTATGTAAATAATTTGATGTTCTCTAAGCTAGAAAGTCTAATTCAATTCCCTGAGATAACAGTTCAGTGACTGAGGATAATTGTATTGCAGTGTTTAATGCAGGCTGGCAAGAACGGAGGCTTTATGTACTTCACAGGTAAGGAGAAAGGGAATGTGCCTAGAAGCAATACTCCAGCTCTTAAATAGAAAGGGGACAGAATTTGAGGAATGAGTACATTATATAAAATAATAAATAAACAGAATAAAACAAAACCCACATAATCCAAATGGTAGTTTTAAAACAAGGGTTCTTAAACATTTTTATGTTTATCCCCTGCAGTCTGATTCCTATAATCATTATCCATGGTCCTTTACCTACAAGGATGCAAGATCACTGTGACAACGGTAGCAATTATTCCATCAAAATAGACTACTTGAAGGGTATTTGATTTTACTTACCTGTTATAAACTTTAAAACTAGAAATCAGTAATGGAGAATACTATGTGGAAAGACAATTTTCCAGCAGGCAGTGCAGATAGTGTACAGCCAGCAATTAAAAAAAAACCCTATCTAAAACACTGCATCCACAGGCAAAGTGCGAGAATTGCTGAATGTGACCTCTGTGCTTACTCAAGAAATGCTTGTAGTGTCAGATAGATGAATTTGTATGTATACATTTTGCTCGATGTGCCTGATTCCTCTCATATAGTGGTGTAAGTGAAAAAGTAAAATGGAATCAATGAATTTTTAGTTGTCCCTGGTCAAACTTAGGCCCATATGTTCCAGTGAAGTGTTTTGCCAAGGTAGCAAGTTGCCTTTTTTGAGTCCTCTGTTCTTTTACACAGATTCATAGATTTTAACCCAAATATCTAGTCAATTCCTGTATAACATCATCCATGTAATGTTATTCTTGAATTAACATAGAAACCCTTCATTGATGTAAACAAAAACTGTTCACCTCTTTTCCAACCTTGGAGCAAGAAAAGGCAAACAATTCTTTTTCCCTAAAAAAAAGTGTAAAAATTTTCTCTCTTATACCCAAGTGTCTGAAAATAGCAGTTTCTGTTAAATTTTTGTCTGTATCTGAAATACGAACAAATACTTAACTCTAGTGACAATAGTAAAAGTATTTTTTCAAACTTTTATAGATATATGTTGTATCCAGTAAATAATTACAATAATAATTTGCAGCTGTGGTTGAATGAAAAGTAATTTAAATTGATGCCTCTGAAAAGCATTTTGGACAGTTATCCCAATACGATATTTTTAATGTTGATAGATGGAGTAAAATAGCGGTGGTTGATTTTCTCTTCTTTTTCTACTGTAAAGAGGAAATTTAGGAGTGATAAAATCATTATATTGTGACAAAGCAGCAAATCTGTGGCATCATGATTTTCCAAAGAATATACTTAAAACTATCTTGAGGCTGATATAACCAAGAAACAGAAATGACATATTTCCTTCATAAAAATAATCCTGGATTTTAGTGCTGATCTCACTAACATCATTTCGCTCATCACAGCACTGGCAGTCAGATAAGGAGGAAAACAATATACAAAAACAGAGGAAGAGAGGTGACTGCATTGTACAGTAATCAGCCACAATACCCGCTTAAAAAGATGCTGTTTTGTTCCTCTAATGGAACTAATGGTCCCCATGATGAAATTCATTTTGAGCCCCTAACATTGCTGTGAGCAAGCCTGTAGGGCTTCTTCACTGGTCCTGCTAACCTAAGCACATAAACAGGATTATCTGGAGTTGCTTCTTGTTGGTCACTCCTGTGAAGGTCTGTGGATATAAATGGAAATTAAGTAAGAAGAGTGGTACAACCTGATGCATATGTTTTATTGGTCCATTGGCTTTTAATGTTCATTGAAGTCATTGAGGCCTCTGCTTGAAAATTGTTGCTGCAGTAAAATCTACTGACACTTATGTGATTTAATTTTAAGGAGTTAAAATAAAAGAGAAGAAGTGATACTTTTGTATGCTGCCAGTATCTCAGAAGGAATTAGCACAAGCATGTAGAAGTATTTCATAACAGAGAGAGATGCCATGAATGAATGATGGTAGCTTGTGCTTCCTGGATGCCCTAGTCAAGAGAAAATTAGATGCAGAATTCCTGAAGATTAAAAAAAAAAAAAAAAAAAAGCTCTGAAGAGCTTAAGAAACAATTTTTCTCTGCACATCTCCCAATTTCTAATCCTCTTTGACAGCACAGTTAGCCTTTTTTGATCTTCTATTTTACAACTCAGTTGGTGGAAGCCATGAACGGATCTTAACGAAGAAGTTGCTAATTCAACATCAGTGGCTCCCTCCAATATATTTTATGTCACACTGGCTACATAAGTATTCTAGTATGTGTGGATGGATTGAGCACTTGGCCAAGTCCCTCCTGTCACCCTTAGCCTTTTCTTCCCTGTCTCAAGAATGTGGTGAAAAGAAGGAAGCTGTGCACCTCAGTCTTGCCCCAAAGTTGAGTAAGGACATGAGTGAGACACGCACCTGTAACTCGAAGCTAGGACATGCACCTGGGCTCAACTATTTAGGAATATATATCCCAGTGTAGTGGAGAAAATACTGATTCTGTCACCTGTGCCCATTAATCTTACAAAGTACCCTGAGTATGTGGCATGTATGTAGAAGAAAAGAGTAAGCATTTACCAGAAAAAAACCCTAAAGATCTGCTTCCTTGTTCTGGTGATTTACTGCTCCATTATGTTGTGGTGAAGAGAGCTGTTCGTTACAGAGCAACATTTTACAGTTGTTCCTTCAAAGTTATGTAGCAAAGACAATTTTTTAATGAAAACATTAGTACCCGTTTTTTCTTTCGGACTGATTTCCACTACCGCTATTTTCTTTTTGTTTTAAACTATTGCCAAGTAGAAGAGAGGCGGAAAGTTTGAATGAGAAGTTATTGAACTAATAATGGTAATACTTTGATTTCACTGGCGTTTAAGGAGACCTTAATCAATTATCAATAAAAAATAGTCCTGATGTATCTGAATCTATTGTCAAAATGTTAGACAAAATAATTAAGTGCTTTAAAAGTATTGGGCAAATATGATTTTAACCCATAATGCACTCAGCAGAAAAAAAAAGGATCAAAACATTCTAAATACTTGAATTTAATGATTTCTTGAGATGTAGCAGTGCTGAATATGTTATTATTACAAGATCAGTCACCTTGTACTCAAGATTGTATCTACCTTAGAGAAAAATGCTGAATGCTGTAGCAGTTCTCCAAATTTCCTTACTCCTGTGGCTGTATTTTATCTTATTAACTGTATTATTTCCTAAGATTTGGAAACCTTTAGATTAGTAGCAGCCACCATAAAATGTAGCACAACCTATTACATCAGTTTTCATTCACTCTCTTGTCTCCTGAGCCCAAAACCAGGTATTGGTCTAAAATACATTGGTCTAAAATATATTGTTTG